TAATATTGAATGCTTTTGGAAGAGGCAAGATCGATACTTTATTTGTGTTGCGTTATACGTTGCCTTGTGTGTACCCATATGTACATGAGTATAAATAGATAGAAGATATATACAGATATATACAAATAAGTACAAGTATTGCATATATGAATATATGCATAGTATATTTTGAATATATGTATTGGAATATAACTATACCATACATAAATATAGATATATATGTATGCTTGAAAACAGCTAATGCAAAAGACTAGCATACATAGTAATCATAAATAAATCATAAACAAATATTCTAGCCAAGCATATAGAAACACGTGAAAACACGTTCGTTTATATTAACTACTACGGCAATATGTACATGAGTATAAATAAATATATACAAATAAATACAAGTAGAGTATTAATTGTATTAAGGCAGTTCTGAATAAAAGCTTAGCTAGCATACTGTCGTAGTAGTTAGTATAGTATTGGAAGAAGACAAGCAGATGTAACAACGTATGAAGTGTAATCTTCAACCTCAGTTTGACTTTGACATACTTTGCTAAAAATTGTAAGCAAAAAAGAACTGTTGGCAAATGTTTAAGAATACAAATGATTAATGCAATGGCGCATAAAGTCATTTACAAGTAAAAATTGTTGGCAAAAAATAATTTTTTGACATACTTTTTTTTTGAAATGCAAATTTTTCATAGCACAAAGTCAATTCGATCAAAAAAAATTCAATAATTTTTTCTGCTTGAGTTGTGCGTGCTAATTATTTATTCGTGTTTTTATGATAAAGACTTTTTCAAAGCTAAAAATCATTTCAATTTGGTTAAATCGGTAGTAATAATAATAATTATTATTATTATCATTATTATTATTATTATTTTTGTTGGTGTTATTATTGCTATTATTATTAATATTATTATGATTATATAATAGAGCACATCATTCATTTAGTTTCAATAAAGAACATTTATTGAATATATAATATAGTGTTGTTATCAGTGATAAAGTGATAAGCAAGCAGGCGGAATTAAATAATTGAGTAGAAAAAAGAAAGATGCAAGCGCATACATGTTACATGTATAAGAATGAATGAGACAGCTCTATTCATTCATTTATGAAAATGGAAATGAAATAAAAGCTTTTTTAATCTAAAGTGAGCAGAAATTTTTTCTAAATCTTCACAGTACTCAGAAATCTTTCAGAATAATTTAGCGCTGAATGATTAATTCTCATAAAGAAGTCTTCATGTTGATAATTCTCTGAGGTCAGAGTTAGATGCAAACACTGAAAGTATCACATTTCGTTCAAAATATATCAGACGTCAGATTAGAAAATGAGCAGAAGGAAGAGGACAAAGTGCCAATTCGAATTTTCCTTAAATTCATCGCAAAATTTCACAAATTAAAAAATAGCACTGCACAACATGCAAAAATTTTGAAACTGAGAAAATATACTTCTTCATTTGTCTTACTTTATTCTGACTTTGAGCTAATATTTCAGTATAACTAAACTACTGAAAGTGATATTTGCTAGAAGGCAAGTTGATTTTTTAGCAGCTCACAGAGTATGTGTATTGACAGATTTGCTTGTAATGAACTCATCAGATCATTAGTAAATTGAAATTTGAAGATTATAAAATGTAATCTCACGGATAACACTTTGCCTTTCTCTTTTAAATCATTTAAGCTCAGTCTTTTTAACTCACTGCAAATGAATCATCCTGAAATTTAAATATTATGTCTTAGAAAAATGCCAGTACGAAATTTCAGAAAAAACAGTACAGAGAGAAAATTCAAAATTATTTGCATATTTTTTATTTTCATATATATGATACTTTTACTTTAAGCATAAAAGCATAAGCATAGTGACGCTGAAATTGACTATTTATTGCAGCACATCACATAACTTAATTATATAATTGATCTCATGCATATTAAAATTCACTAATTATATAGCTTGAGAACAACTTTTCTCAATACTTTTTTCCATTTCAGCTGTCTACGATATATCTCAAGTATGAAAGATTTGATTTTTATTGTGCCAGTAACATATGATATTTTCGTTCCAAAATATTACGAGCGTATGTATATTTGACTGACGTTGATGATTGCTCGTCCATTAATTTTTATTAAATTACTACGTTACTCGGTTTTACATTGTAAATTAAACTCATTTATGGTCATTTTCTATAAAGTTATTTCTAATGTACAATTCAAATAATAATTAAATATGTGAAAAATATATTGAAAATATTTAAATTTACCTTCAATCATTTAATATGATTTAATGAGGTTGACTTCTAGCTATTTTTCATATGATAGAATATTTTTGCAATCAAATATGCAAATAACTATTTTTTTAAATTTGCATATAAACGAAAAACTTTAAGAAAGGAAAATTTTCCAGTTGAGCAAACATCTTTAAAAAAAGGATAAAGATCATAGCTGGAAAGAGAAGACTTGAGAATACAACTCAATGAAAAACAAACTAATTTGTGCGATTTTGTTAATGTTAGAAGAATGAATGACTTAGAAAAAGCAAGCAAATAAGTAAGTCGGATTTTTATTTCCTCATGTTTAGTAAGCTGAAAATCTCGATGCCATTATCCTATGAAGTCAAAGCCTCGGTGCTGTTATCCCAGCATGCTGGCGAGGATATGATATGTACTGGAAGAAGCAAGCGAGAGCTTGCATTTGCTTAAGCAAACAGATTGTAAGCTTTTATGGAATAAAACAGTATAAACGATTAATTGCCTTTTGCTAGCTTTAATTGTAAGTTAGCACATTCAACGTACTAGAATAAGTCTGAATTAAGGCTGAATTTAATACTGCATACATAAAACTATAAAATGAGCTAAAAAGTCAGTTCAGTAAAGTCAGTTCAATCTTAAGAGTGAAGAATTTTAAAAAAGCAAAATTCATTTAAAATACGCAAAAGCATTGAGTGATAAATACAAAACATTTAGCTAATTCGGATTAAATATTTATTATTCTGAATTAGATATATTATTCACAAAGATATAATGGTCTCAAACTAACGAAAGGAAGATTCACTAAGAGCTAATAGTCTGGAACTAACAAAAGGAAGAAAAATTAATTATTAATTTAATAAAATGAATCACTGGTACGTTAAATGCATAAAGTTATTAAATAGTATTGCTATAATTTTGAGCTCACAATTCACACAAGTGAAAAAGTGAAAATTTGAAGTCATACTGAAAGAAGCAATCAAATATTGCAATGAAATTAATAAAGAAATTCTGTGAGTAAGAAATTAGAATATTTTATGCCAATGCAAGTAAATCCAATGCATTAGCATTAAAAATAATGCAACAAAAAATGAATAAGTAAATAAATCCTAACATTAATTTTAAAAATATATGAATATTTGAATTATTGAAAGCAAAGATGCATTTGAGCTCAATTTTAGCATCTTAAGTCGTTTACAGCTGTCTCAACACAATGGTAGATTGACCGATACAAATTTGAAATAATATTCCATTAGTTGCACTGAAATGTTTTTTCTTCGTATATGATTTTGCCACTTTTAACAGAAAATTAGAGTGGAATTCTAATTTCAAATGAATTTATAATAATAACAATAATTTATTAATAACTTGTACTTTAAACTTTACCGTATGTTGATGTATTAATAATTTACAATAATAATAATATTAATTTATTAATAATTTGTATTTTAAACCTTACCGTATGTTGGTGTTTAATTTGCATTAGTAAAAAGTTATGCATTAATTTGAATAAAATTTAAAATAGTGAAAAGTTAAAAGCGTAAATTTATTTTGGCAACTCTAAAATTTGCATAAAATTTCAATTCGTATATGTTTAGAATATAAAATTAACATTTGTGTCTGACTTATCACAGATAAAAAATTTAAGAAGAAAAAGTATTTGCAGTGAACAAATTTGTCCTTGAATAATATCTTTTTTTCTTAAAAATTTTCTCTTAAAAATCAAAATATTTTTTTTTCAAAAATTTTCCATTTTTTCATTAAAACATAGATACGATCTATGTAAAATCACCGCAATGCATCAATCATATTGTCTGTTTCCGATTAATCGATGCTAAGGTCAAATGTTTGTTTCATTAATTTGTAATAAAAATCAAATACAAAACGATAGTTGCTTTAATTGTGATTGACAAAAAACTCGAATACTCGTGAAACTTGTATAGCATCAGGTCAGAAGGTCAAGATGTATCAGAATAGAGTAAATCTTCAGGTCATTTCCAGATGAAATCTTAGCTTTATCTAAGAATAACTAATCATTCTGAACATTATAAATACTAGACTTGACATTGTTCATAATATGCTAGCAGCTTATGGTTGTACGTTGTCATTACTGCTACATTTTTATCGCGAACATCAGTCTTTTTATCTCTGGGTTCACACAGTGCATGCACTAGTCTCACATCACTTTTGTATCCTATTTCATGCACTTTTTTTTGTTTTGTGTCTAACTCTGTTGAACTTATCATTTTCTCTCCCTTATATGTCTTTGTTTTCTTTTTTTCCTTGCATGCATCATAATTTTGTTTTCATTGCAATGTGAAATTATAAGAAACGAAAAGATTTCATATCGTTCCCTGTTACGTTTTCCGTATAACAAGCAGTTCAAAGATTGCTTACGTACTTTACTGTTTACAATGACATGTTAGCAAGAGGTCGTGGTCGAAATATGGAGTGGGATTGGAAGTTATAGCTTTCATACGAGTTGAGAGACTATATTTAGGAATAATTAGAGCTGAGGAGGTTTATATTTTTTGTTTGCTATTAATTACCGCTCTTTTGTCTAACATTTGTGTCACAATTTAGCTCAGCTGTGTCTATTTCTTACAAGCATTGATTTCAAAACTGCTTGATTGATATTTATTTCATTTTTGATTCTTTTCATGAGTAACCATTTTAAATTGGCGTGGATTTATTTGATATTTCGATGTCTACACTTCGTTTATTTCAGTAGTAAAAGTGGAAAAGTGTATTCAAAATAAAGATGCGATTATCACTGGCAAGACTGAAAATGCCGACGAATACTAAATTGTGGCAAGATCCTGTACTGGGTTATTTTGAAACACACGGAAAAATGCGCTTCATTGCAGGTGAAGATTATGGTATTAGTGATGAAGAGAAAAAGGTCTGTTACATTTATTAGTTTAAAAATATAATTTCTTTGTAAGATTTCGTGCTAATTTACTTTAATACTCGTGTAAATGTACCGTCATTAGATTTGATTCTATTTCATGTTTTCTGCTACCTTTATGTTTCAAGCAGTCCTGTTTATTTTGGCGGTTTTATCTTTACTATAAATTTATCTTATTTCTGTTTAATACCTTTGTCGTATTTTTCTATGTCAGATTTTTCATTTACATTTTCATTTCAAAGTCTTACACTTCATAATGTTTTAGGCTGTATTGTGGAGATATCGTTTAAAAGAGATTTTGAAAAAGGAATATCTTCGACGTGAATATGATCCTCATACATTCAAGTATAAGGTAATTGACATTTGTTAGTTCGTTTACAACTATGAACTTTAAAATATGATTATATTGCACTTCTGTATTCATATTGTCCCATTTTTGTATTTGGCCATTAGTCAACTTTAGTTAGCAAATATGTTTATGTCGCATGAGAGCTGATGTTAGAAGAAAAGTTACAAAAACATGAAAATTTTATTTTACTTGTTCTATGTGTCACTAAAAGAAGCTTTAATAATTGGTTTTTCAGGAAGGTGTTGTAATTGATCCAGCTGTGTTTCGTTGGTATTCAGCTAATGCAATGCAGTACGAATTTTTTCGATATACTCCGCGTTCTGTGTTTTTATATGCTGGCGGATTTATTTTTGTCTTCTATGTCTTAGCGAGAATAATGTTTCAGTTTGAGGTTTTTCAAAATTCTAAGAATTTGTTCATTATTTTACTCGTTTAATCAATAGTTTACAATTAATAATGATCAGCAGAAGCAATTACAGTAGGGATATGCGTAAAGCAGTCTGTTAATTATATTGTGTTACACAGAATATGAATTAAGCAAGTATTGCATTTTTTAAATTGAACGATTTTAATTTGTCCCATGTTTTTTTTAATGGTATTCTACAAAATTATTATTCTAGGATGCTGGACGTGATATGTGCCTGGATGGTGAGTTGCTGTGGTGGGATCGCATGTACAACCGCCAGCTGAACATATGTGGCCACTATCATTTCAGTCCAACATTCGCTAGTTAAGCCCTGTTTGATTTAACATGAGCTATGTTTAGGCCATTTGTTTATTAACTTTGTACAAATCAAATAAATGTTTACTTCATTATCATTTAGCGTCTCATTGTCATCTGTGTTCATAAAGTTTTAACTGGAATTCTGTATTTTTTCTACAAAAGTATAAATTTTCCATTTGCTGTTGGTAGATTTCAGTTCATGTTGCTTGTATAGCGAAATAAATATTTATCTCCTATTTGTGAGTGACTGTTTATGTTCTTTGTGCTGGTACTTCCATATGTGCTGTGATAGTACCAAAGTTTGTGCTGAAAAGCAAATTCGGCAGGGTTTTTCTTGTAGAACCGAAATTTTATCACATTAAAAGTATACTTCGAATAAGGTAGCTCTGTTTTAGTATCACTGGATTAGTTCTATAAAATGAAGACTGATCTTCGAGTTATTCGTCAGCACATCGATGAGAGAAGGTTCTGGGATGCAAAAGGGATCATTGAGGTTTTGTGATTTCTATCTCATACAGGTCACACTAAATGCAGTGGTTGTTGATTTGGTTAATATGTAAGTTCGGCGGATAAGAAGAAAATTTTGTTGAAGTAGATGATACCAAAGGACTTTCATACTGTCCTAACTACATCTTATATCCTGCTCATAAAGTTTTAACTGGAATTCTGTATTTTTTCTTCAAAAGTATAAATTTTTCACTCGCTGTTGGTAGATTTCAGTTGCTGGATCACAATTGAAAAATCTAACCATCCTTTATATTTTTTGTAGGATCTGTTGGAGCAGGGTGTATCAGATTACTTGTTATTTATCTTTGCGGCTATCACATACAGTGAGATTGAAGACAGTGCGAAATCAGTTAGTTACTATAAAAAAGCTGCAGAATTAAATCCAGAAAAAAGCTTAGCTTGGCAAGGATTATTCAAACTTTACGAACAAGGAAGATACAACGATTTCAGTCATATTCTTACTGTAATTCAGAATTTATTGACACTTTCTGAGTACGTTATAATAATTCACATCCAAAATATTCTCAATTATTCACATAAAGTTAGGGTCTTCTGAAGTGATAGGCATACTAATTAATTCTTTTAGTAGGTATGTTTGTCTGTTTTGAAGCCAGAGTTTTGAAATATCTCTACATTGTTGTTCTGTGTTTCAGGAATTCTCGAGAGAAATCGTTATTCTATGAGAGAGAGATTGGTTTTGTCTTATTGAAAATGAGAAAGTTTGATGAAGCATTTTCCTGTTGTGATCGCTTGAATGATACTGAATTTTGTGAGACAGCATTGAAAACAATACTTTGTGTCGACAGTAGGAATGAAAATTATAAAGATTTGGTTAGTGGAGATTTAAAATCACTAAGTTTGGTTATTTCTTTCATTTCCTTTAATTATCACTAGTTTCAGATTTCATTTCTTTTAATTACCACTAGTTTCAGATAGATAAATGCTTAATGGGGATTGATGTTAGCAAATTAGACGCTACGTTTCATCGAAAATGCGCAGAATCACGTTGTTTTTATGCAGAAGTAAGTATTTATCGTTTAGGTTTTATGTGTGTTTTGCAATTGTTGTATTATCCTTTACGGGTTAAGCGTTGTTTTTGGGTAGAAACTAACGGTTTATGTTGTTTTGATATATTTAGACATTAGAAGAAATATGGAATGTGCTGAGTTTGCATGCGACTTATATTTCACCTGGAGATCAATGGTTGATAGATTTATTACGATATTTAGTTGTAATTTCTTATTTAAAACGGAACAATTTGGATTGTTCAAATGAAGTCGAAATGTTGAAAAAAAACATATTAGAAGAAACAGAATTCGAAACTTTACTGTGGAAAATTCAAAAAGCAGAGATGATGTCGTCAGTTACAAGTATTAATGAAAGATTGAGTAATAACGATTGTAAATGGTGTGGATTTCACTTTTGATCTTTTCTTCAGTGAATAACATTTCTAATAAAGTGATGCATAAGTTATGTAATTGTTTATTCTAAAGGATAAGATTATCATAGACATTGATTTTTAGAAAGTTGAGAAACTAATTTTCGGGAGTAAAAAATTAATTTCCTATTTATTTTTCGGAATCAGCTGCATTTTCAGGCCATATATTGGTTTGATTGTCCCTCTTCTACATATTCAAGAGCGTTATGAAGAAGTTTTGACTTGTTTGGATGTTCCAATTTCAAATAAATATCCTGCAATCACTTCATCCTTGGATCCGATCATTTTGGATGCAAAATGTCAAGCATTGTACGCAATTCATGATGAGAGTGCCATGGGTCAGTTACAGGTCTTGCTGACAAATTATTCGAGTATAAGGCCGGCTCCTAGGAATATTCGACTTTCGGTAAATGACTTGAGGATAAAAGTCTTATGTTATTTTTTCATGCTATATTATCCACTATTTACTATCCATTCCTCTTACTTGAATATCATATGAAAATACTGTAGTTAATTAATTTTTATTTTTCATATTTGAATATTATATGAAAAATGAAAGAAGTGATTAATTTTTTGATGGTATGTGAGAATGTCGAAATGGATGATGAATCCAAAGCAAACATATTTCACAAAGAAGTGTATGACAGCAATGAGGAGGAACTTTACTGGAGAGCCTTTCTGTTGAAAAATTCGAAATCAAAGGATTCTCTACAAGGTTCTAGAGAGTTTTTGGATTATGCTATTAATCAATATAGTTCCCTAAGACTTAATTTAAATATTTAGAAGCAAAATCACTCGTGGAAAGTGCAATAAAAATGAATTCAAAGTCTTGGCAATTACTACTGTTACTTGGTGAGATATGTTTTGCTCTACATTCGGAAGATGCAAGTGCTGCATCAGCTTTTGTCAAGGTCTGTTTTTTCATTAAAAGTTAGGCTTTCTTAATTTAAAAAAAATTTAGTTGATTTCTAAATAACTTCACTATAAATTTGGGTTTGCATGTTTTTCTTAAAATAGAAAATATCATGAATTTAAGAATCTTGGTGTTTCATCATTAAATTAATGGCCAGAGATTATATTTTACCACTTTTTGAACATTTTTTATTTTATTAACGACGAGAAGAATTAAATAGTTCCTTACTTGTGAAATACTTCTGTAAATGTTTACTCAGAAAGTTTATTTGAAATTTTTTTAGCTGTGATTTCTAAATATATTTCAGGCTGCAAAACTCAACCCACATAGTAGCAGAGCTTTTTACTTCTTGGGAATGAGTGTTAGGTCAAAGAATCGGAACAAAGCAATAGCTTGTTTACAAAGAGCAATTAAAATTCGTCCAAAAAGTACGGAGGTAACAAATGATTGTTTCTTTCAGTGACCTTCAATTGTATTTCATTAACTGAGTTATTTGTACTTTAAAGATTTGAAAGTAATGAAATTATAATGGTATGAGTTCTTATAAAGATACAAAAATAGTAGAGTCAGTTATTTCCTTGTATAAATTTCACTCAGCTCTGGTTGAAAATTTTGCCTGTTTTTTAAGGTTGCGAGATTACTGGATGAACTATTGAGTTTAGAAGATCGTAAAGAAGAACGTATCAGATATTTGCTGCAATTTACGGAAGATGTTCCAGATGCGTGTTGGGCGCGGAAACGGTTGTCATTTTTGCAAATGCAAAATGGAAATGTGAGTTTGTCAGCATGAAGCATGGCTTTTTGAGTTCTCAGTGTCGTAGCATCAGTTCATAAATTATGAATTTTTCACAAAGTATGCATTATTAAAGTTTAGTAAGGGCTTTATAGCTTGATGCAGCAATTGCTGAAATGCAAAGCTTGCTTGCACTTGGTGTTTCGGATGCTAGCGTTTGGATCACTTTGGGTGATGCTTATAAAAAACGTGGTAACTATCAAACTGCCATCAAAGCTTATAAAGAAGCTATACTTCTTGAACAGGACAATGAAATTGCTCAAATCCAGGTTAGAGTAATTTGTTTTTTCAAATTGTTGGTTTTTGTTCTTAATTATGATATAGCTGTATACATATCAATTCACAACATTTAAATAGCCGTAAAGTTTTGTTTGATTCTACAAGTATTGATCATAGTACATAAAATTAATTTGAATTCATGCTGATTACTGTGTTTGCTGCATTTATTACATGAACGGATATGAAATAATTTCATTGCTAATAACATAATTCATTTATCGTGTATAATATATTAACTTACGGCATCAGTAGTCAAAATAACTGAAAATTGGGTAATTTTCCGATTTTTGTCGAGTTTTTCAAATGCATTACCAACGATTCGGTTAGCGAGATGGTGAAATTCTTTCAGTAACTCTTTTTTTGACTTCCATCGAAACTTCGTATTTTCAGTTCATTCAAATGTGTCAGATTATGGGCCAGTTAGACGAATCAATCAAACAATGTTTAAAATTGGAAGAATATATTGGAAAAAAGCAGAATGGCGTAAGCTGTGTTTACCTGCTGCACGCTGGATCTTTGATTAAATTAGCACAGAAATCATCTTATTCGTCGCAATTTGTGCATTTAAATGAATTCTTTGCATTAATTGGAAGAGTTTTCGAGCAGAATCCAGATTTGATGTCACCTTGCAAATTTTCTGCGGATGCTTTGTTAATGGCGTCTAAATTTCATATTGATACATTCAAACAATTCATATTTCCTGTTGATTGGAAAATTAGATCGATTAAAGATGCCCTTGAGTTGGCTATTCATTTCTACTTTGTTATTGTCAAAAGACACTCAAAATGTGATCGAGGATGGAATGATTTAGGCGTTGCAATGGTGAAGAAATGTCAACTGACAAACGATTTAAACTGTGCAAAGTAAGTTCGTTCAAACAGCTGAACTGTTTGACATTTGTGTACTGGAATATATGCTTATAAAGTTTGGAGATTAATTATAAATAAATAGTACGAATACTTGCTTGAAACTTCATAATTTCATTTTTGTTGTATTTTATCAGCAAGAAGATATGACAAAAATATATCTATCGAATATTCTTCTGCGTCTTCGTATATATTTATCAGATCCACTAATTTTTTTTCCACCCTGTCTTTTTCTATTTCGTTTTCTGTTTAACTTTTTTATAGATTTGACTTTTCCAGTGCTATTGAGAGTTTTAAACGTGCTATTTTGTTGTGCAAATCAAAGACAGTGAAGTCGAAATATTGGACAAATCTTTCGGAAGCTGTTGCGATCACAAGGAATGATTTATTGGTACAACATTGTCTAATACGTGCTTTACATCTAAGCATAAGGAATGATCATGCTTGGCTTTTACTTGGATTATTGTATGGAAAATATAATAAGGTATGTTTTTCGAGGGCAGTTTTTGTCGACATAAGCTTTTTGTCAAGTTTGGCAATGTATTGACTATAATTTTTGTTTTAAGCCAAATTTAATGAAAATTTCTTTAGGTTTCTGATTTCTTATTTTAGTGTGGTCTAGCACGGCAGGCTTTTCTTATGGCACAAAAAATCAATCCTGAATCAGCTGAAATTTGGTGTGCTTTGGTAATTTTTTTTTCTTTCTTTCAATCTGAATTCATAAATCCATTCATTAATTGTCTATTGGTCAAAAATCAGTCGGTGATTTGTCCTGAGTTTTCTTATTCTTAGTAAAAAAAAATCTTTTATTTTGATTATATAGAAATGAAATAGGTTACTTAAATATAAAGCACTAGAAACGTTTTATTACGTATGATAATTTTTCTTTACTCATGTTTTTATGCGTCTTGATTCAGGCTGCAATGGCTGAATTAGAGAATGATCGTAATGCAATGGATTTATATAGGCATTCATTAACGCTAAAGCCTACTGTAAATTTTTTCTTCCTGTGATTTTATTTTAATTTTATAGGAGCTGTATGTCTTAAAGTTGTTACTTATTTGTCAGACATAGTGTATATCTTTTCGATCATAGTTTTTTCTTTTGAAACTAGAAAGTGCAAGAAAATTGTCATTGATTTAGCGGAGCTTTGGCATAAATTAATGCCATAAAAATTTTATATCTGTAAATTTTAGGAACTGGCTGCAAAAAAGTATGCGTATTATCTAATCAGCAATTTGATTGAAAACCATGAAAGGGATGATGCAATAACTTTTAATTTCGAAGCTGTTCATGACATTATTGGTTAGTAATGTGCTTTTTCGTTATAACTGCAAATATTAAAAATGCGAACATGGTACCTTGAAAAACGATTTTGTTGACATACGATTTGCCACTTCGTTATTTCGTTATTCTTTTAGATTTTTTGCTTAATGATGTTCTTTTTTTCCTTTAAATTTTTTTCTGGATAAAATTGTTTAGGTGTAAGTAGCCGCAGTGACGAATTTATTTTCTTTGTGAGTTTATTAGCTGAATTTTCCTGGTGCATGGATTATGCTGCACATTATATCAACAACTGTCATGATTGGCCAGATCCAAAGATTTCTAGTTTGCATAAACGACGGATTGCTTTACGAAAGTAAAAGAAATTATTATGTGTCTATAGTATTTTTATTTCTTCACTGTTTGTGAATAATGCTTTTCATATATATCAATATAGAAAGCTTCTTTTTTAAGAATCTCTTTTACCTTCTTATTTTCCTTGTTTCAGTATGAATGCTACCTCACTGGAGCAGGCTGATGAATTTCAAAATTTGGGTACTCTGTATTCATCCCATACGCTCGTAATTTATGGTTTGTTGACTTTTCATACGATTTTATGAACGGATGCATCAAACATATTATTTCTAGCTTTTAAGACCGTACTTTCAGAGTTTAAAAATGTAAATCATTTGAGTTAATTTTTAACTTCTTATGATTAGTTCTTTAATTTTCAAAAAGCAAATTTTCTTGCAATTTTTCTCCTTGATTTACTTGAAAATGTTTAAGATAAAAACGTCATAATTACTTAGTCTGAATATGTAATGAATGATTTTGCTAACTTTTATGTTTAAAGTTGAAAAATTACAGAAAAGTTGTTAGAAGAATTTACTTCTTATGCGCATCTTTTCTGTGCCTTAGAACAAAATAATGTAGAGGAATTTCGAGCAGTTTTGTTCAAAAACAAAATTCAAATTCCTTTGTTTATTGCTGCTGTTATTACTTTTCAAAAAGTTAGTTTCTACTAGTATTCCTTTCCTCAAAGCTTTAACTATGCTTCTGCAAAGTCAGTTATCTTTCGACGACAAATACAGTAATTTACAAAAAAAATTTGAATTCATTTCGAGAATTGCTGTGAGGTCGCTCTTCTTTTAGTTATCTCAGCAAAAACTGTAAATAAGCGAGGATTTAGATGCGATGTCCAAATCTAGCTTTTAAGTTCGTAGAAAAATTTATAAACATAAATGGCTTTGTTAATTTCTTGTTCGCAAATAGAAATTTTTCAAGCTTCGAAAATGTGTTGAATGAATTATGTTTTTGAGGCTCTAAGCGATGATTTTATTAGCGTTTTGGACGATGTCAGACCAGGTCATCGTATTACTATGGTTTTTCCGCCTTCTAAAAAATGTGATGAAAATGCTGATTTTTCATTTGATCTTACCGAAGAAACGAGCAAAAACACTTTACTTCGATACGATTTTATGTCTAAGGTATGGAGTTCAGCAAAATATTTCACCATGCTAAGGTTCACTTAATCATTTTGTTTAATATACATTCTGATGAAGAAAATAGTGCTTTTATTTTGAATTTTTTTTCTCAAATTTTGTGTAATCTCACTGGAGCAGGCTGATAAATTTCGGAATTTGGATACTCTGTATTCATACTATATCGCACTTGACTAATCTGTTGAACAGGTTCTTCATATCCATGTATATTTTACTTGCAGTCTAAGAAACATTTAGAACTTTTCAGCGATTATGTGATTTATTGGGACTAAAAGTAGTACTGCTTCGGTTATCACAAGCTACTAGTACATCTGTTGAAGTGAAGGAAGTTTGAAATTCTGTCAAACTATCCATAATTAAGTGAACAATTCAAATTCACTTCATGATGTTTGTACATCACTGATAATTTTTGAATGTGAAAAGTGTGATCTCAGAAACTGTTTAGAAAGATAGAAATCTTCGCGATTAAATACCGTCTCCGCATCTTGTATTTTCTTTGTCATGAA